TCCTTAGTTCGCCCAACTTAGTCCTTAGTTCGCCCAACTTGAACACTCCAAGCAGTCGCACAAGTCAAGCATGTGAGCGTTTCTTGGTTTGAGGTGCTTTCTGTTGACTCGTCTCTCTCTCTCTCTCGCACATTGTTTTGTCTTTCGCTTGCATATACCTACAAGTTACAAGCCCTGAGTTGCTGCTCCTGCACCCTTGAAAGCAATCTACATCAGATACTTACGCCTGCTTCCTAGACTCTGACCGCGAAGTCCCCAGCCTGGACCCAGCCCATCCAAATCACCGGAAGTTGTCCTAAGGTCCCAAACCTGCCGGGGGCTCCTTAAGCTATCCAAGTCGACTGGTGGTAGATGCATGAACGTCCCCCAGCAGGTCCTCTGCAGCTGGATGCATGACCTCGTGGCGCTGCATCCACTCCAGCGCCCCACGGAGGCAGAGAAGGAGGCCTCGCAGTACCGGAGTTTCGGCTTCAGAGGTCTTGAGGTCGAGATGGAGGGTAGTGTCTCTTAGTGGGGAAAGCGGCGTGGAGGAGCAGGCTTTCGTAGTGTCTAAAGTTGTGCAAAGACAGGGAAAGGTGTGCAAGGACAGGGAAGAAAGCCATGCAATCAGGATGTTGAAACGGGCTTTCGGATTTAAGGCCTCTGTAGAGCTTCAGGGTTCAGGGCGTAGCTATCCAACGCGCTAAACACCTCAAACCCCAGAGTCTGAGACGCCCGAAAGCCAAGAACTGAACCAAACCACGCAGAAAACCCCTAAACCCCAAAACCCCTAACCCCCCAAAACCCCTAAACCCTCAAACCCGTAAACCCCCAAACCCCTAAACCCCAAAACACTTAAACCCCGCAAACCCCTAAACCCTAAACCCCAAGACCCAAATTTTAAACCCCACGAACTGAACTTCACAGGCCACGCCCGCCTCCGGCCCAGATGCGCTAAGCAAGCGCCTGTCCGACAGGCGCCGGGCCCGACAGGGGAGAGTTTATGCTTTAAGCCTTAATAACAGTTAATAACAGTGATAATGGTAATAACAATTAGTTAATAGTAATAATTCATGACATTAATCTTCATTAATAAGGTAAGTATGTTATAATGGTAGTACTAACAACAATGACAATAACTTCAAATTGTAGGTGAAGGTGAAGGTTTGAAGAGAGGTTTCGCTACTCGGGGAAGATAGGTGTTTATGGAGTTTGTTTAGGCCTTCAGCCACGGCTGTCTCATCTGTCTCTTTGGGAAAACATGACCACCCTTCAACCTTCAAACACATGAGGGGTTATTTTGCTGTGCAAGTCTGTTTCTTGCATGTCTAGGCGGATGAACCTAATGAGGATCCATCATTCCTGTGAAGAAAGTGCTGCTGAATATCAACGTTCGCATAGCTCCTTCACAGATGCGCATAGTGACAACAACGGCTCTCGCTAAAAAGGTATTGGTTGCATTTCTGTTTCAAGCTACGGTCGACGTAGCCGAGCTGAGCCTGATCAGTCGCATCTTCGGACGAGCTGAGTGGGGTCCAGAAATTAACTCATCTCGTGCTCAAGATGAGTTGATTGATCTTGGTTTCTGCCGAGCATGGTTTTGGATCTCGGGAGCATCCTTGCACAGCACAAAATCTTACACGCTAAAACCTTCTAAACCACAAGCCCTACAAGCCCTAAACTCTAAACAACGGAGTTTGCACAAGCCAGGAGGCTCCAGTCAGAGATTGATGGCGATACCGGGCTGCGCTTCTTCCGGGTCATGCACGAGGCCACCTTCGGTCGATGGTTGGTTGACTACATGGCCTACCGCACAAAGCCTGTCAGAACGGAAGACCCAGACTCTAAACCCTAGAGACTCTAAACCCCGAGATGATCCTTGAACTACAATGGCCCTCTCCCCCAAAGCCGAAGATCCCAAAACTCCAAACCGAAGCATAACAACTCTAAACCCAAAGCCCTACAAGTCCCATATTTTTCGAAATAACGCCCTCACAGCCGAAACCGAGCAATTCCGGGGACAGGGCCGCCAGTCGGGCTTCGACGTGACATGGTCCGGACTCGTAGGTCGGGCCCCAGATATACCCATAGGCTCCATTGTAGTTCCTTTTGTGGAAAAGCCTCATAGGAGTCTCATTATAAACCCACAAAAAGGAACCACCATGGAGCCTCTGGGGCTCTTAGAATTCCTCAGGGCGTTTGGCGTTTTGAGGGTTTGGGTTTCTGGTCAAGGGTTCGACGCTTGGGTGGGTTTTGGGGACTGTTTGAGGTCCCTATAGGGTCCTACTATTTTGATAGTTGCTCGTCGGGGTTCTATACCTAGGGTCCTTGGTTGAGCTGAAGTCGCATCTAGAGGATTCGGGACTCTGGGGTTTTGCAGGAGCGGACTTTACTGTGCAAGTCCTCGATGTTTAGCTTCTTTGCGGCATCTTGGAGTCGGAGGCAAACTGCCTGCGGTGACGTTTGTGACCAGTGTGACAATTCTTTGGGTCTAGCCGTGAAGCTCTTTGGTGTTAGAAGCAGGCTGGGTCGGGAATGCACATGACATGTTCAACCATGTACAAGGGATGCTGAGGGTTTGTGGCAGATGACCTCAGCAGCACTGTTCGAGCTTTTCGAAGGTCTTTGCCCAAGCTTGACTTCGACAGCACCTAGCCAAGGTGTGGCATTCCATGCCGCATGTTTCGGGTGAGGTCATCCTGAGCATTCCATGACGACCTTACTTACACGCCAAACCTTAAGGTAGTTCTCTAGACAAAATGCCCCGAGCCCAACCACAAAGATTCAGCATAAACTCGAACGTTGAAATCCTCCACCCTATGTATTTAAACCAAACTCTAATCTCAGAGCCCTGAACCCTAGATTGCGGAGTGGCCAATGTCCTCAGGCCCCTCCGGGTCGGCGTGTTCAGCCTCGGTCGCTGGAGTGCTGCTGGCGCTCCTGTGGAGCTTGTGCTTGGGGTTTTAATGCTTGGAGTCTACATATGGAGTGTCAGGGCGTCAAGTCATCTACGTGCTACCAGTACAACCACTTCGGGCATTGAACGCTGCAAGCTTTCCTTATTTCGACGTCGCAGCGTTTGAAATCCCGGGCCCCATTCCATAAGCCAAAGCGCTTAGGGTTCCAGCACGGAACTAGGTCTTTTCACCCGGGCACGAGATCGGAACCGGCCCCAGCGTGCAGACTTGAAGGAGAAGCCTTTGGTGTGGTCAAGACAAAGGCCCAGGGCTGACCATCAAAATTGCAATTTACTATCCACAGGACACTAACCCCTACCGCTGCCGCAAGATTCGTGCGACGGCTTTTGCGGAGAGTTGCAAGGGGAGCCGTGACCTCATTATGAAACAACAGCAGGGCCACGTCTCGCAGTCAACTTTCGTCAAGGAGCTAGACTTCCCGAACCACCGTGTGAGCTTGGTACAGAGAGGCTTCGGTACAGAGTGGAAGTTTCGACTCTTGTCATTGCTGATACTTGTACCGCCTTGAGCGATAGCCCTCTAGCATGAACCCGCGGCGGCTCAAGATTTGAGCTTCCGGTCCTTTTCCTGACCATGCATGCCAAAATTTGTCGGATTCGACAAGCAGATACAGAGGGGTGTCGGTTTTACAGTCTCGGAGTCCCAAGATCCACACCGCGAGATTGTTCTCATCTCTGAGTCTCTGCTGTCTGATCGATGCATTTGCGATGCCTGGCCTGCGTGGTGCTGCTGAGGCAAGCCCAGTGGATGTCCACGAGACTTTGCAAACTGAAATCCTTCTTGGTTGGGTCTCGCAGACAGAGTTCCTCTGCAACGCCCCGGAGCATCGTCATTTACCGCAGCTGCCGAAGACCTGTCATGCACGAGCTACAAGCTTGAGGCCTTACTTGTAGCTCGGGTTTTCAACCGTGAAGCGGAAGCAGCAGGATTGGTATCAGAGTATGGCTGCTGTTAACTCATCGTGGGTATCGGATACCGTAATCACCATCATCATTATCGTAATATGTTGGTCAGCATCCTATGTTAACCTATGTCAAGTTCTGCCGAATATGATTTGGGAAGGTCATTCCTCTGTGGAAGCGAAGAGACCTGCAGCGCGGAGCTTTGCCCTCAGCCATGGGCACCAGAAAGCCAAAGACGAGACCAAATCGTGAAACCGGCGATCATCATACTAGGAAGGGTAGTCGTGGTGGTGGCGGTGGCAGCAAGGTAGCCCTTTCGTCATGTTGCTTATGATTCCACCAACACCAGCAAGTGCAGGAGAACTTGGGGAGCATGCAAAGACACAGAACTACTACTGTTCAAGCAGACCAGACCACCAAGCCAGGATCTTTATAGACTTGGAAGAAGAACTCTGCCCAACACCAGAAAGATGCCTGAGCATCGAGGCCCTTAGCCAGGCTACATGCCAGAATCCCTAGCGCCCTAGCGACTTGGTGATGAGTCCTTGGGAATTGATGGCATGTTCGCGACCTCTTTGCTCCTGAGATCCAACCGTTCTGAAGACAAAATGCATCTCACTACGTGCATGATTTTGTTGGTGACCAGATTCCCTCACGTGCTAAGCCTGGAGGTCGTCATGCAAAGCTTTTGACGACTCCAATGCTTTGGAGCCAGCTGACCCTGGTGAAGCGTCACAGCCGAGCGAGGCAGCGGGCTCAGGGTTATGATGTCTTCCTTTTTCTTGGGCATTGAGGTCTCTGAGTGCTTTGTCACGGCGGTTGAGTTCATTTTGCCTTGGAGCAAGGTCCTGCTTAGCATGGTATTGGGGTTATCTTCGAAGCCCTTGCCTGGAACCTGGTGGGTCGTTCGGACAGGCAGTTACGATCACAGAGGTTGCATCTGCATGGCAGCCCAGTCTGCAGGTTCCCGTCTCTCCACATGGACACCATAGCTGAACTGTCGTTGGGATTAAGTTGTCACGCCCCGGTGGCCTATACCCTATACCCCTAAACCCCTAAACCCCTAAAACCCTAAACCCTATAAGCCCTATACTTATACAGAATCCGCGTAGCCTAGCAAGATCACCTCCAACTCAGTGAGGCTGGGCTGGTCACCTTGCAAGTGGCCGTGGGCTTGGCGGCCATGGAAATCTAGAATCTATGGTTTAGGGAGTCTAGGGTTTAGGGAGTTTAGGGTTTTAGGGTTTAGGGTTTTAGGGTTTAGGGTTTAGGGAGTTTAGGGTTTTAGGGTTTAGGGTAGCCGCGCTTCCTGTGGATAGCCTGAAGACTTCATGGCCGCTGTGCTAAAAGCAAGGCTGGCGACGGCATCCGGTGGCAGATTGGCCACGTGCCGCTGCCCCAAGCAGACTGAGCTTCCTTTATACATAACCATCCATATATATATATACATACATACATACATACATACATACATACATAACTTTCTAAACATTCGCAGCTCTCCAGCCTGAGAGGCTTCCCGAAAGGCGGACGAGGGACCTGCAGCGAAGCCAGGAGCGGCTGGCTGAACCTTGGCCGCGAAGCTTAGCGAGGCTGGCTGAGCTCGAATCCCAGCCCCGGACTAAGTTTCTGGCGACAGTAGTGACAGTAGAGTAAATCTGTCCTTTTCAGAGTTTTTCCCGTGACTACGAGCAATAAGTCAACCCTGACACCCGAGTACATCAGAGAAGTCATGTAGAACTTGTGCTCAAACACCTGCAGATGCAAGCTACGTGATGTTTCAGCTGTATGCTGCGAGGCCTGCAGGCACATGTCCAACAGGAGTCGTGGACCGTGAAAACTGCCCATCTGAGGAAGGGGTCATCTCCCCACTGCGCATGTCTGACGCAACCTGGACTGACAGAGAGCTCTTGGATTCCCTTCAGGATACAAAAGGTATATGGACAGGCCCCCCAGCAGTGTATCGTCTATGATCAGGATGTCTCCTTCAGATCAAATAGATATGTTTGCATATACATAATATGTATGCACATATATATATATATTAAAATTATTATTTTTATTATTATTATTATTATTGTTATTATTATTTTTATCATGATTATTATTATCATTATTAATAATATCATTATCATCATGATTCTGTTATATTAATTATTATCTGCTGTTATATATAATAATTATTATTATTGTTATTAATATTATTATTATTATTAATATTTTATGACTATTATTCTTATTATTTATTATTAGTATTATTGTATAATATTTATATATTATTATTATGTTATTACTTTTTGAATATTGATTTTTTATTCCTATTTTTTATTTTTCTACTATTGTTATTATTGTTATTATTATCCTTATTCTTATTGTTATTCTTATTCTTACTCTTATTATTACTATCATTAACATTAACATTATCATTATCATTATCATGTTTATTATACATTATATATATATGTATGTATATATATATGTATGTGTGTATATATATACATATATATATATTAAATAACCACATGTAGCTGCACCCCTGAGACAGAGCTGGTCGTCGTCCTCCGGGGCCTCCAGGGCCGCTACTCGGCAGCATATGTCGGGTTGGATGATCTCGATGCCGGCTTGGGGTATGGTTGGGGTTTCCGAAAATAGGGAACCTTAATATAGTACCCCAAATACCAGGGTCCTTATTACAAGGGCCCAAATACGGTAGTTAGATCGCTGCATGATCTTGATTCTCACTCCAAGCACCGCAGAAATTGTAGCCAAAAATCCAGTTCTGCCCTATGTAGGATGTTATGTGGTGTTGAAACACGGTCGCAGCCGCCCGCAGCAGTTCGTGACATGCTGCCACCGTCCCAGGCATCCGCAGCGCGCGGACATCGTTGGTGGGAGAAGTGCAGGAAACAGAGGTGGGCGAGTCTTTGCTGGATCGTTGTATTGTGACGTTTGGGGCTTCCTTTCCGGCGGTACGCACCGGAAGGCTGTGGGCTTTGGGAGTTACCTCGGGGTAGATCCTTTCGACATCTCAGACCAGAGGCCGGCACAGAGAACAGTGCAGAAGCTGCCTACAGTTTCTCTGTTCTTTAAACGACGTAACGAGAATTTAAAGGATGCCTGAATCCAAATATATCAGAGCTGTCGCCACTGCTAGTATCGCTGGTCTTGTTTGTAGTCTCAGTTGTTCGCACGATCTGCGCACGATCGATGATTGAAAAGAATGTTGTCGTTGCTTGTGTTTGTACGGTTGTTGTCACAGCTGTGATGGCTGACTGACAGGACCTTGGCTGGCTGGAGGACGGCGTGGTTTAAAAATCCATGGTTGGGATGAATCCCTGGCGGTCTAACAACCAAGTGCGGTGGTCGGAAGGTCGTCAGAGGATTCTCCAGGCTCTTCAGAACAGCCCAGCTTCCTGTAATCCGAAACCCCGGGAAAGACGTGAACTCTTGCCACACTTCAATTCGTGCAGAAACTCCGAAACAGGCCGCATTGTCTTCCTAGTTCTCTTCCGAAAAGCTAGCAACGTGGAGCCAAGGATCCGTTTCCACATAGCCAGGGCAAAACATGACCCTCTATGCATTAAGAAGACAGCTCCTTTCTGGTGCCCTGAGTCCGTAGCGGAGGTATAGATCGTTCAACTACTCAGAGTCTCCTACGGCTTCTACAGAGTCCCACTTTTGATTTTAAGGAGCCTGGTGATCTGTCTGGGATTATGTCTCAACACTTCAAGCCGGAGGACAGCTCGCTGCCGCGGGCCACGGCGCTCAGCCGATTTACAGGCCAAGGCGCAGCAGGGCTGGGGAGAGGGAGTCAGCCGTTGCTGTGCGGTTTGACGGCAACTTATGATTCATGGATGTCTTGCTCGCGTGCTGAGGTGCCGTGGCTATCGGCCACCGCGCTGGGCTCGCATCCCTGTGGCGCTACAAGGCCGACGCTCCTTCTCGGGATGTTGAGAAGATTTGAAAGCAGAATTGCCCCAACACGCGCGATGTGACCCTGAGACCATATCTCTTTTTTGTAAGACGGGTAGATGGTCGCATGCTGGGCAGTGTCCAGCTTTCGGACAGCAGTGTGAAGCATCGGGAGCTGGTGGCTGCAGCTCTCGGGACAGGCACAGGGCCGACCAGCTTGGACTCTGACCACGTCAGTCAAGGCCAACTGCTTTTTACTATTCAGAAGGTCTTAGGCAGAAGCTGAATCAAAGGGGGAGGGTGTCCGGATGAGGGCCTGGATTAATGTTCCAGGTCCTACGCTGTACACGGTGCGGGCCTGGAAGCGGGGCACAGCCACGACGAAGTCAGCAGCGGTTTTCTAATGGTTCCTGGTTTCTGTGATTCTCCTCGCACTCGGACGCAGTTCTGCAGGAAGCGAGTTCCCATTTCTTTGAATTGGTTCTTGGGGAGAGGCTCCTTTTGCAAAAAATCCAGCTTCATGCAAAGTTCCTGTCAACAAATCCGCATCCTGGGACATCCAGTCAGATTCTCAGATGCCACAGCTACGTTTTGTGATGCCATGTGAGCACTGTTCGGCAGTCACCGGCACACCCTTCACCCTTGAATGAAGGCAGCACCCGCGCTGCTGCAGGTGTCGCACCACGAATGGGAGAGCGTGACCCTCACCGTTCTCAGCGAGACTTGGCCATGTGAGAAGGGGGGATTTTAGTTTCTGGTCACGTCCCAAGCGTAGCCACTTGCAATGCTCGGCTGGGCATACCTCTCAAGAGGTGTATCCTTCAGACCTGTACTAAGATATGTCCGGCCTGACAAGATCAGAACCTTTGAAACCTGATCTTTTTGGCGTCTTGCTCGCACGTAAGGATGATGGCAGACTTCTCCTTGCAGCGAGCGAGGACAGCTTCGTCAAAGCTTTAGCCAGCTGTCGACTCACACGGAGCCCAATGCTAGGGCTCTTCTCGGATCTTCGTGTGATGCCTGCTCGACTGAACAGTGGTTTTAGACAGTTGCAAGATCTAGGGCTGTTTGAATTGCATACTGTTGCTGTGGCTGCTGGTCACATAAGACACGCTGCAAATGCGAGTAATTTCTTCAATGCCTTTTTGTGGCTGATCAGCTTTGATGTCCAACGTGAAATAGCTTCTGTGCAGAAGCATTCTCGCACAGTCGAGAATGGTTTTCAGCATGGTAATAGGCGCACGAGCACAATTCCTCTGCAGATCTGTCGGCATATTCGGATGGGGCGTCCAACCAACTAGTGGACCTTAGTGTTCGGCGCCCCCGAGCGTATGCCCATCTCTAGCTCGAAGCAAGTCGGTATGTGCTGCCGAATTTACTACGGCGGCAAGTGCCACGCTCAAGAATCCGCCTGAGCCACATCAGGTTTGTCCTGACTCATGAGCATCTCGAAGCCAAATTTCTTGATCCGGGATCGCTATGTCGGCTGATGTCTCCATGCCGGCACCTGCGCAGCAACACATCGAGTCCTACGAGCTTCATGGCCGGTGCCTAAAGGCGCGGCGTGGCGTGTCCAACGATGGCTGTGCCTAGCACCCGCACGTAGAATTGCCTGATGACATGTACTACCACTTGCGCAATGCTAGAAATTCAACGATTCGCCCACACAGGCTCTGCCCACATCTGGAGCACTGCTTCCATTCACCACGGTTTCGTAGTTTCCAGCTTGCAACCGCTGCACGGCTCAATGATCCTCACCACCGTGCTCTCAGCTCCCAACCAGGAGGTTGAGCCCTTCAGAAGCTTCAGCCCCATACAGTTCCACGATCCTCAGAAATTTAACTCTGAAGTCTGCCAAAGGTGCAGACGGATGATGGCCTCGGGGTGGCAGGCGTGTTTTGGCCCGCCCAGGAGCCCTGTGCCCGAGTTGCATCCCGGCTGCAGAGAGTAAGGAGGTCGGCAGGCCGCTTATGCATCATGCACAAGCATTCGTACATCATGTCATGGCTATCACTCCGGTCAAGGAAATGCCCCAGCGGATATTGAAACCAGTATCCGGCTCGTCTGTGACTGTTTGGTCGTCAGTTGCTCAAGTCAGAGCAAGGGACGGCACAGCAACAATTGTGGCATCAGGACGAGCGTACACACTGGCAGTCAGCTGCCGTCACTTCCGCACATGCTGCAAAAGTGTAAGTCGCTCCAACAGCACCTTTCTGTCTGCGTAGCTATGCATCATCGCTCCTTTTGAAATGCTGATTGAAGAGCTTTGCCAACTTGTCCAGAATTCTTGGATTCCTGAGTGTCCCAGTGAAAATCAATCATGAATGGTTCGCATCCCACCCAAAAAGCAAGGGTGAGGCTCCCAACAGAATCTATACTGTCAGTGTCGAGGATTGCTGGTCCTCTTACAGTCTTGCATGCCTGCAGAGTCATCACCGCTGCATGATGACTCGTCGCTTGGAGCCGTCGTCCACAGTGGTTCAGTGCATGCTTCAGTGGTGCATCTTGGATCCCTTCTTTGTGTTCTTAGTCACCTCACTAGCAGCATGGCCCTCGACAAAATTTGACAGGTATTGCCACATGTTTTGATTGTCATGAGTCCATGTAAGTACTGTGAATCTACGAAGTCTTTCGGGCTTACCTGGTATTCAGAGACCAGTAATTAACGCTTGCTCCTGCCTGATATATTGAATACTTGTCTGTGCTGAGCATGAGAACACACACACACTCTCTCTCTCTCTCTCTCTCTCGTTGTACGTGTAGCAGGTTGACAGGTTGCAGGTAGTCATACTATCAATTGCTATAAATGCCAGCCGTCAAAGTCCTTCGTTTCGAGTTGGAAGGACCGGTAGCCGAATTGCAGTGAGGGCTGGTTCAGACCCTCGCGGCATGAGCTCCTCACATCCACAGCTCGGTCCGCATCCGAGGCGGCCGATCTGCTTCAAAGGCTGCGTAGCCATCAAGAGGTACCTACAGAAGGCCACGCACGCGATTGAGTTCATTCCTTCGGAGTGATTCTGAGTTGCTCGGTGATTGTGAATGTGCCTGCTTCGGTCATCTGTTCTCGGGATGTTCTAGTCGATCTTACTCTCAGTTGCAACATCCAATATTGGCCATGTTCCGCACAACCTCACAGTTGAAGCCTCAAAACCAAAGACGGCCGGAAGCCCAAATCCTACCCCCATCAATACAACATGCCTCGCACTTCCGAACCACCCGAGTCCAAGCAGCAAGCAGACAGAAGTGCCCGAAAATCCCTAAACCTTCAGCTCTCCCTCCCACGCCCCCGCCCCCCCCCCCCCCCCCC